TCGTCGAATTATTATCTTATAAATCGCGATTACTTTCGTCTTACAATAAATGAGATTAATAAATTACTAGAGTTTTCATTCGAGTTTTGTCTTTGAGGATGCGTCTTTGAATGGCTGAGAGACGTCGAAGCAGTTGGAATCGAGACTAGTCGAAGTGTGCGGCTTATTTTATGTTTCTTAAGTAATTAATAGCAGTTTGTGGGTATGATTCGGTCTCACCATACACATACACGCAATATAGCTTTTATCGTATCGAATTTGGAAAAATGACACAAGCTATTTTAGGTTTTTTTAAATGGAAAAACTTTTACGAATTAGATAAAACTATGTGGATGAATGTTTAATATCACGCGCGCACACGTACGCGCGCACGCACACGCGTCTGCACACGTAAATACAAGAATACGTAAATGAAGTTTTTTGATTACAGATATACGTGCATACACATGAGAATGTTGATATTGAAAATTAACATGCGCTATCTCAATAACATTGATTTGCTCAATTGTATGAAAAATTCGTACAATTGTCACATTACTTGTTTTACAATTTTTAAATTAACGCTCAATCTAACTTACCAACCGTAGGCTACATTACTCTCAACAAGTCAATAAGACTTTGCTTAGTTGGCACAGTTTTCGTTTCTAGTCTTAGATAACTTTATACTAAGTACTGACTATGTCGTTCAGTAACAGCTGATCTACAATGTGTAGAGGAAGCCGAATCGTTGTAGTTGTTTTTCCTGTTATATGATTCATTTAATTTCGAAAGAATTTTCACGCCTACGTGAGTAATTAGAGATATAAGTTTTTCAAATAATTTCTTTAAGTTCAAGTCTATAAGTCTATAAGTATTCACACAGATTACGGATAATGGAAAATTTTCGTTTTCCTCCTACTCTTTTCTATAATTATTTATTCATTTAGATTATAATTTATCACTACGAGTGCATCAGTCAGTAATAATAATAATGTATTTGCAAATTTATGATTTAAGCAATGAAAATTTAGCTAATAATAATTATTATAGGTTATAGAATATCCCTTTATATTTAATATGCACTAAAATTATTATTTAAATAAAGCATAATTCCACATAGTTACTATATTATTATTAACTATTGAAATTAATTTATAAATTTTCATCTCTTTTCTCTTTTTATTATGGGTTACCGAGACTATCCATTCAAATTTTTGTTTCTGACTTTATAAATACCTAATACTACTGTAAATTACAAGATTGCCAATAATTATTTGAATTATACAATCAAGTGTCATTGTACTGCCATTTCTCCTCTTGCCTGTCAATTAGTTGAAGGCATCTGTCGTGTCAAGATCGACGATTTATTCATTAATTTCATCTTGAATTACTCTAATACAACATTAATACAATCCGAGCCTGAATACGCATTTCTCTTGCATTCCACTCGTGCTTTGGCTGGTTATCGTTTTCCATGTCAGCACTGTCACGGTCTTCGTCTCTTGTGATTTATCGACGTTGCGTCGCGGAATTCTTCAGATTGGTTACGTTCTTTCGATCATTCAGCTGCGGACCTTCCGGCACGACTGCGTAAATCTTCATGGAAATAAGTTGAAGCTCGGATTACAATTTTATAATGCATTAATTTAACAAATAGCTGCATCTAATGTTTAAATTTTCTCGTCGATTTTCCGTCTTTATTTAATGTTTATCTAATCTTTAGATTCTTCGGGTCTTTCAAAATAATTTTACCAAGACTCGTTATCTCATCGATAGTCGTTGCATTGTCCAATAATAATCATCTTCTCCCTCCTTGTCTTACCTTACAGAATAAAATCTCTTTATGAGCGTAAAACGCGGGCAGATGCTGCCACGTTTCGTTAATAATTTCTCTCAATACCAACAATACGCATCGTAATAAGCGAAAATAGTACTGTGTTTTTAGGTCGCGCGAGCCCTATGATGTTCAGGAATGCAATTTCAAGCATGAAAAAATCATGGAAAAAGGCTCAATAAAACAAACTATATAATAAACTCCAAGGGTAGAGCGGCCGAGGGAAGAAATTTTCCGTAGATTGTCGCATAACAGGTTGGCTCGCGTTATACCAATATAGAGAAAAATGTCCTGGAATTCCTCGCGGATTTATTCCCTCCTCCTATCCTCGACCTTCCCGATTTTCCCGAATTTCCGTTCGACTTGCCGCTCGGCCTTTGCGATCTTAAGGTATGGCTTACCGAAGCATAAAGTCTCGTCCTTTCCCTTAGAGTGAACTCATGCGAGGAAAGAGGAAGAAATTGCAGAAGGGTCTTGCTCCTCGTGGGCTTGTATGACGTCGCGCCTCATTTTCCTTGTGTACTCTCCGCGCCCCTTTCACTGGGGCTGCGGTCGACCTCCTCTCGGCCACTTCCAATATATGAGATCGCAAGTCGAACACACACGTCACTTTACTCCCGGGCGAAGAACTTGAACGTACGGAGCTTGGAAATTTCATGACGAGCGCACCGGTGAAATTCAATGCAACATTCTGTGATACAAAAACGGCCAATATCGCCAATGATATTTTTATTTCAAATTGGCATGGGAAAGTGACTTTCCTTTTTCTGCCAATTACCCAATACGTCAAGCAAGCTCTTCATAAGCGGCCGGAAGAAGCGTTATGCACAGTCGATGAGCACCATTGCGCTCAACATTTTAAGAAAGTCCATACGCGAATTATCACAATGTCTCTACGGAGCATCCGCAACCTTCCATACATTTTATCAATTACTTTACTTTTCAATGTTACAATACAATATTAGGGGAGTGTCGTTCTTATGCACTTGCGAAACTCCTAATCTCGTCGACGATTCGAGCAACGTTAATTCTCCCTCCGCCCCACTCTCTTTGGTTTTGTTTTCTTTTGTTTTGTTTTTCCATTCATCCGAAGAAACGCTAATCAACGATCCCAATGAAATACTTAAATTTTTCGTAAAATGTATATTAAGCAAATAGTTAATAATGCTGGATGAAAAACGAAATAAATGGCGGATAATTAATAATCATTACACTAAGCTTTCGTTTATAAATACAATACACTCTTGCCATATTTTACTTTATTATTATGATTTAAAACTTAATGTTCACTCAATGTTCAAAGTTTTATACCGAGAAAAAAAAATTTCCTTATCTGAACTGAGTAAAGAGGAAGGGACATCGACGTTTTGCGTCGTTATTATCTCGGTTAACTTAAATGTCGACTTATTTTTCTAACACGAGACATTTTAATTTTAAACCTAATACAAAACAAGTATATTTTTCATTGAAAATCTTATATACCGTATTTTACAATTTTTGGTAAATTGTCCATTGATTCTACCGGATATTCTATTAGTTTTTTATATTAAATTCTTCTTGATAGTCCCTATATTGCTTCGTTGCTAGAATGTTCCAGAATGTACCTCGACCTGCTTTTTCATACCTTCTTACATTGACATTTTTCGTATAAAAGGTGAAATTGAATTTTATTTTTGAATAACATTGTAAACGAGGCTTCTTAAAATTGCCTTAGATAATTCAATTAAACGTCACTCTGTCGCTCAATTATTCTCATTCCTTTTCCTTCTCAATTAAAAATACTCACGCGCGTGCCTGCGCGCACATATCATGTTGTTTTTATTATTATTATTTTATCTCTCAATTATTTCTTTGTGTTTCCTTAGCAACTAATTTTTAATAAAATGCCGCTATGTCCTTCAATTATAAATATATATAGACGCATATGGGATTATTATAATCCGTGATTATCATTATTTTTTACGAATATTTGAAAATAACATGTTGATAGCTCAAAGGAGTTTTTCTTTCTCTATGTAGCATAAACGCAGTGTAACGAATAAACGTTAAAAACATGATATTGAAATATTTACTTCTAAGAATTAAAGTTAGTAATGTGGACATATTTGGAATCAAAAATAAAATTACTTAATAAAATGAGCTAAACTTTAAATGAAATTAAAATACGAGAAAAATACATGCAATTTTCAATATGTAGACATATTTACTTGGTTTCCTTATATTTCGATTATTACATCTGTAAAATCGTTTCAAGTATAAATACATACATACATGCATACATACATACATGCATACATACACACACACACACACACACACACACATATATATATATATATATATATATATCTTTGTTTAATACGCACGAGTTGACATTAATATAAGAAACGGCATTACCTCAGTTGAAACGGCTTAGTTTTTTTCCTTTAACGATTTTAATTATTTGAAAGCCTGCAAGTCAATCGCGTGAAATACTCCATTTCGGTACATTGATCGAAAACATTTATCGATAAGCTAAAATTGTTATCGATCTTCATTAGCACTTAAAGGCAAAGAAGAAGGAAAGATAATACGCAAATAAAGCTTTAGGGAGTGGATTTAAAGAAAGCACAAAAATACAGAGAACAATCAATTATTCACCCCAAGCCGATCCCACTGTTTGTATTATTTTCATTTACGCTCGAAATCATAAAAAATTCATCTAAAAAATTGCCTTACTGGCTGAAAAGAAGAAAAGAATCCTCCCCTCTCGCCTATCCAATTGCTTCGCTCGATCCTCGCAGTAGTCAGTGGCGCGCGCGTCCAGTCGTAGAAAAAGTCACATCTGGACCAGCGGACTCGGAGCCAGGGTGGGGGCCCATCGGACCGAGGAAATGCTCTCGCGGTCTAACAGTTGCCGCCGGGGCGGTAAAAATGTCGCAGGTGTGACGCACTAATACACGCACGGCACGCGCGAGTGCGATTAACCTACGTACGAACTCGTCATCGAGCCCATCGATCATACGACCTCTGTGTGCCTAATCCAGGAGAGGCGGTGCCGAGGTGGCCCAGCGACTTTTCTACGTTCTCGCTCTCCGCATGTTTTTTTCCTAATTTTTTTGTTTTTTTTGTTTTGTTTTTTTTGTTTATTTGTTTTTTTTTTTGTTTTTTTTTTTTGTTTTTTTTTGTTTTGTTTTGTAGGGGGATCTCGACCCGTTGGTGTATACATGTAATTGGGAGAGAAGAGCGCTTGAGCTTCCCGGATTTGCGAATCCTGGGCGTTGTGTTGGAGACTCTTTTGTGGCATATGCGGCTTAGATGCGCAATTATATAAGGTGAATTTACCTATTTGCATAGTTTATGGACTTATGTATACCATCTCATTTTTGTAAATCCTGTTTGCCTTGGTATCGCTATTTTTATCTTGTGCTCGTATAATAAGAGTCTTCTTTCGTATTGGAAATACGAATTGTTTTTTTTTTTTTTTTATTTTATTTTTTTAAAGACAACACTTTAAATGGTTAAAGTCCAATTCATAAGGACAAACTTCCCGTTAAATTTCAATTATAATTCATCTTAGTGCTTTTTGGGAGAATGTCAAGTGCCTTAAGATTTATATATATACATATGGAATTCAAGCTTAGGGTGATTTATTATGTGAAATGATGTAATTGTCAGCTGATTAATAAATTATGTCAATTAGTTGCCTCAATACGAATATTTGCAGTTTAACAAATTACATTTTCAAAATACGTATATTCTTAGAATTTTTAACGACAGCCAATGAAAGAGCGAAGAAAAATATTATTTTATATAACAAAAAAATTTTTTTTTTTTTTTTTTTTTTTTTTGTTAAACTAACATTGCCACTCACTCCAATTGTTTTATTTAATTTCATTACTCGAGAGGATAATATAAATATAAGATATTCTTTGCACTTAGGACTTATTGAAGTGCCAATGTGATTTCTGCATGCTAATAGCATTGCATGATCAAACATTTATTGCACATTTTTTGGATTAAAAAATCAATATAAACAATTTGTATTACGTCTATTACTGGATCATTACTATAAGATTTATAATATTATAAGCCAAATATTATAATATTTCCAAATGCCTCGATATTTTATTACTGTGACTTGCTACAAATTGTAATATAATGCTATACGGATAGAACATATATGTATTTCAGAGTAATTGTTTAAGTTTCGCTTAATAACTTATTGCATAGACATGTTGACTGAATTGAAAAATCCGCTGATACATAATTGCCCTGACAATTGACAACAAAACAAACATATTAACAGAATGATGATGACAAATAGGAACAGTGAGTGAGTTAGTTCTTCAATGATACCACGGCCGCGATTCCTCGTCTATGAACAATTTTGACAGTTAGTTAAACGCCTCGTCATCTCGTGATAAACCTTCCCATTCTCCCTGTTCTTTACCCGGCAACTTAATAAATGCCAATTTCACGATCCTCACGCCCACGAATAATCCACAGGCAAGTGTTCACGATACGTTGTAAAGGCCAGCAACGAATCTCGTATTCCCCTTATATCAATTTCTCCCCGTTTTCTCTCGAAATATTGAAAAAATTGCGGAAGGGTCGAGGGCGCCACGGTTGCGTTTTAAGCCCCGACTATAGATTCGATAGTGAGTCATTGCGTATACTTAATGGCGCCCGAATCTTTATCAAACTTATCTCCATTTTTCCCACGTAAGCCATTCCGGGCACGCATAAATATCTACATAATGCAGACACTTATATTCCGCCACGGCTATATCATATTCCGATACCGCGGATTGCGTGAATCAAAGCCCCGTGTGCGCCACGCAATGCCCAAAGCATTCATTGCTAATTAATTACACGCCTAGGCTTCTTTCACTTCTATTCTATTCTATTAACTAATATTGATTCATTAGAATCTCGCGCGCATCGACGCTATAGCAATTTCGAAATGTCGTTGAATTCAAATTTAAAATCGATAATTGATAATCTCGAAGCGAATGAAGAACGTCTTGATTTCTAATTCACTCGCTCGATTAGTTTGGGCTAATCAATGCAATGCAGGCATTAGCTTGATTTTCGCGGTGTCCTATTAACCGGGAAACATCCCGGAGTCCCGCGACCTCGGCCTCTTATTATTTAGGCAAATTATAACATTTGCGCAAAATAATCCCGGTCAATGGAATCTTTTCGCCAAACGCCCTCCTGTCTTTCTTTCCTAATACCATCATTTGGCCGTTTAAACAACAGTCGCTGACTTGTCCTCTCGCTTTTTTTCTTTTACCGCTAAATCGAATGTCAGTTGGACGATGATCGTTAAAAGCAGTCCGATCGATCAAGATCCAGCCTTTCCTCGAACCCCCATCATCTCCGTCGCGCTGAAAATAACATTGCCGCCAATAATAGCGCCGGCTTATCCCGCTCGACACGGCACCGATCCTTCGGCCCCAAAAGTCGCTCGCGATTTTCAGCATGACAGGCACGCGCGCACGCGGCCGCCTCTCCCCTCGGTATGCCCCTTCGCCGTGGCGCTGCTGCGTATCATCGTCCTTTGTTGGCTTTCTCGAATCATAAAGTCTTATTCCTGCGGCTTATCCTCGTGCGTGCCGTCATATTGCTTACAATGCCGCAAAGAGGGTCGTCCCCGTCGCGCATATGCGCCTCGGGCAATCCATTATTCCTCGGGCTCTAAGGACGACGTGGAGCGGACGCCGCGAGTGCACTCGTCTCGTCGGGATAAGTCCTTAATACCGGCATCACGGTCGAGCGACTCTCGTTTTGCGATCGCGCGTTATGATGTATGCGAGGGGGTGGGGACTGCCTTTCGAGGGCGTACTCGCGACTGTTTAGCGACCGATGACAGTAACGAATAGTCTGGGGGTGGGGTTGGGGGTTCCTCGGTCAGGGAGCGCGTCTGCGGAGTGGAATATTGCAAATGGCAGAGAATGAAACTTCCGATTGCCTCGACAGCGCACTTGTGGAGCGTAATGAAGTTGCGTTTAGCGCTTTTGACTTCCCCTGTGAATTGGACGAGGATGCGAAGGCGGTTCGTAGGTGGCGTTAACCGCCCGTGCGAGGTTCTCCCCTCCCCTACACTAATACATATAGTAGTTGGGCAAAGTTCTCCTTCAAGTTGTATATCATATAGACACCATTTGCAAGCTCGTTCGTGTGTTTTGTACTCGGGGAATGTCACGTGCGTCAATGTTATTTGATTTAATGTCATAATTCGAGGTGTCGAAGTAATGGTGAAAAGTGGCTCCATGGATTATGAATTTAAGGAATTTTCTCACGCAGTGCCACTCTACTTTATAAGCAAATTCAAGAGCGAGAGTAAAAAGAGAGCGAGAGAGAGAGCGAGAGAGAGAGAGCGAGAGAGAGAGAGAGAGAGAGAGAGAGAGAAGAAAACAATAAAGATTGTTGTGGGGGGTGGGGGGATCAAGGCATTCAACGCGTGTGGCATATTAATGTGTTTTGCTTTATTACATTATTTCATTATACATTTTATAATTCTAAATACTTGTATTTTAGTGCAGATTACTAATGTAGAGGTCCGAAAAATTCAAAATAATGTTTATTATGATAAGCGGACGCCTAAATATACAATAATTATAATGATTAATTATACGCGTTTTAATGAATTGTTTCCAATGTATTATTGTTGTTCAAGATGCACTCCAATGAATTATTGTTAATTACAAATAATTGCGAGTAAGCTAAATTATTTTTCACATAAACGTAAGCATAATCTTCATTTATTTATACTTGAATTGATAATTGTTATAATAGTTAATTGTTTAATGTGGCGTATATTCAAAATTTATGTATTCCAAATATATATATATATATATATATATATATATATATATATATATGACATTAATGACACTATATTCTTTCAGATAATATTTCCCTCCGCGTTATTCAGTATTTTAATTGGTCGCAATGGAGATCGGAATAATTGAAATGGCCGGAACGTTGATCATCTTGTGGCTAATTTATTATTATTTTACAATGACCTTTGACTTTTGGAAAAGCCGCGGTATCCCAGGCCCTGAGCCCGTGCCACTATTTGGCAACATTCGAGATATAATTCTTGGTAAAGTGTCGATTGGTAATTACGTCGCGGAAGAATACAACAAGTACAAAAATTATCCAATGTTCGGTATATTTGCCAGTCGAGCTCCAATTTTAATTATCAACGATCCCGAAATCATTAAAGACGTTATGGTCAAGAACTTTTCGTCCTTTCTCAATAGAGGTAATCGTATTTTCGAAAAGGTCGAGCCTCTTTCAGCAAATTTAATCAATCTCGAGGCTGCGAGATGGAAGCCACTTCGAACTAAGCAAACAACCATGTTCAGCTCCGCAAAACTTAAAGACATGTTTTATCTTATTCTGGAGTGTGCGAGCAACCTTGAAACAACTTTGAGCGCAAAAATCGAAAGTAATGACATCGTGGAATGCTGCAATCTTGCTGCTAGATTCACCACAGACGTTATTGGCAGATGCGTTTTTGGAATTGACATGAACGCTCTTAAAGATGAGAACAGTGAATTTTGTAAAGTTGGTTTAAAGTTCGTTAATGTTAATAAATGGAGGGCTTTTAAGATGCGATTCAAGCAAATATTTCCATTCTTATTTAAATTACTTGGCCCTATTATGTACGATTACGAAATCAATGACTTTTTCATTAATACGATGACGAGAACAATGAAGCACAGAAAAGATAATAATATTAAAAGGGGCGATTTCGTTGACTTATTGAATGATTTGAAAGACAATGCCGACCAATTAAAGGATATCGGTAAGCTTACAAATATCTTATATACCCATTAATGCTTAGTAGTTAGAAGGATATTTCAAATTTTTATGAAATTTCCAATTTTCGAAGCATTGCATTTTATTAACTAGACACTCTATCGCTCATTCACTTATCAGCCTAATAACAATAATTCTATCATAATAGTAAGTAATAATAATTAATGTTTTACAAGTATCTAATGCTATTTCAGAATTAACGGACACTCTCTTAACAGCCCAAGCATTTGCTTTCTTTTTCGCTGGTTTCGACACTTCGTCTACAATCATAAGTCATATTCTTTACGAATTAGCTCTCAATCAGTCCATTCAGAACAAAGTTCGAGTGGAGATAAACGAAGTTTTGATAAATAACAATGAGAAATTGGAGTTTACGCTGATCCAAGAAATGAAATACTTGAACAAAATATTTTGTGGTAAAAGAATTATTTATTGATCATGTAATTATTAATACATGACAGTTTTTGCAATAATTTAATGTATTACTGTTTTGTCGTTGTTGCTGCTGTTTCTTTGTTTGTTTGTTTTGTTTTGCTTTTTTTTATTTGTTTTTGTTTTTATAGAAACGTTACGAAAGTATCCGGTAATTACCATTTTGACTAGACAAGCAACAAATGCATTCACATTTTCTCAAACACAAACAACCATTCCGAAAGATACAAGAATTTGGATTCCAGTGTATGCGATTCATCGAGATCCAGCGATTTACACTAATCCCGAAACTTTTAATCCAGAAAGATTCGACGAGGGCAATATGAAAGAAAGACACACATTCAATTATTTACCTTTTGGCGCTGGACCACGAAACTGTATAGGTAACATTTTATCTACAATTAAGTAAGTCAATTTAAATAATAAGCTCACTCGATAATAGAAGATTATATATACGCAGGTGCACGATTCGGTAATTATCAAACGAAAATTGGAGTCATAACAATATTGAAGAACTACAGGGTTGACATTTGCGATAAAACGCCTATTCCTTATGTCAGTAATCCGAGAAGATTTTTACTCGCGCCCAAAGAAGGCATACACTTAAAATTTACAAAATTAAAATAGTGTATACTTTGTGTGTGCGTGTCTGCGCGTGTGTGCGCGCGCGCGCGCGCGTGTGTGTGTGTGTGTTTTTTTTTTAATTTTGTCAGAATAATCCAAATAAATGTTTTACAAGTTATTAAATTACAAGATATTCATACAACATAATATATAAGAGTATTTAGAATTATAAGACATAATTAATAATATATGACCATTCGTTTAAAAATCAATGAACTAATAATTACAGCTTTCATTTGTCCAGCAATTTCTCTTCCTTCAATTTCTCTTCCTTCAATTTCAACCTTACACCCCTTGTGACTTACATTAACAACGCGCACCTCACTCCAAGCCTAATGGCATTTGAAAAAAATCTAATCCAATCGGTTTATCGACGGTCGATGAATAGAAATTGTCTCCGCATAATTACGATTTTAGCAGGCATAAATTTAAGCGAGAGAGCCGGTAAACAGATAAAACGTACATTTAAGGGCTAAGATAAAGCGAGTCACCGTTTCGAATAAATAGCCATGAAAATAAACTATTTTATAATGGTAAATAAAGCTAAGCTCTTGAATTAAAAACGGTGGAGGAAGCACGAGAGAAAGATTCGTAATAAGTCTTTTCCCAAAGTCGAGTACTATTTTCTAGATAGTCCGAAAGGCAAAGTCGATAAAGTTCCAATTCGCTGGGCGAACGCTCACGCGAGAGGAAGGCATACAGATGAATTATTAAACTCACGTTTTCCACGCTTGCACGATATCCTCATCTCTCTTTGCTCCTTGTGCCATGCTATATCACCAAAGCGAGCGCGTATGCGCGCACATACACAAAGAGACACAGAGAGAGAGAGAGAGAGAGAGAGAGAGAGAGAGGGGGAGTGAGTGAGTGAGAGAGACGAGAGAAAGAAGAGGAGGGGAAGAAGAGGAGAGAGCGAGAGAGCCCCGTGGATGTAAGTGATAAATTCTTCGTGTAGTCGTTTGGAGTGAGCTTCTCGCGATGTACGGAGGACGGGCAGAAGACCTTTTTGACTTTATACGACTGCCTTCACTCCCTCTAAGTAGTTCGAAATGGTCCGATATGCCGTAATTTTATCGTCGGTGGCGCGTAAAGGGTATCTCCCTCTCTCTCTCTCTCTCTCTCTCTCTCTCTCTCTCTCTCTCTCACCCTCTCTTCTCTTCCTCTATTCCACGTGTCACGTATTATCCTTCGAGTTACTTGTACGTACATGTACGGTTTGTGGGTTAAACAAGCGAGCGAAACATCGGTTAAACGCCGATTTTATGATTGTGATTCCAAGAAGTTGGATGGTCTTTTTAGTCTACGCATTGCTAGTAGACTTTACCTACACTTAGGCAGTAAAACCACAACTTTGTAATGCCAAACTTCCGTCCTGTCTCCAATTTTCATAAATATTACATATTTCGATAAAACAGATAGATGGCGCTAGGACAAATTTACGAAGCTCCTTGTTTTATCATTTATTACGACAAGTGTACTTTAATGATAAAATGTGTATTTTTTTTTTTTTTTTTGCCTCGATTCGTGTTCATTATTCTCATCTGCGGTGGACATTGGCCTGCCGGTCCTCCTCATCCAACTCGTACGATAACAAAATACCTAATCAAAATGGTTATTTCGATGCGCCCACTTAAAAACTATTATTTTTACTTGCAAATTGTCCAGCACATGCAATAATATTATTTGCTACCGGTTGTTCGGCCGCAGTTCTTGGAATAACTCCAGCGAGCAGAGGTAAATTTTGGCAAAACTTTTGATAACCGACCCAAATGGGATCGTGACCATTAGGCAAAATGAATGAAATACGCCTTTCAATTTTACTTCATCCTCACACGATTATTTCCGTCTTCGACTTTCAAAGACGACATTTTTAATTCATCAATTTTTATAAAGTTTTATTGCCTATTTTTACTTGCCTTAACAACAAGCTAGATAACGACATTCGACTGTTTGTCAATTGAATTTTCATCATACTCCCATTTACCACGTACTTGTAAAAATAATTACATTATAGGAGGTTATTCATCAATAATTATTTATAAAAATTTTAATCACAATGTGTAAGAATCGAGTAAGAGAAAATCTATTAAAGACGAACTCTATTAAAGATGATAAATTCGAATCAAATGATTGCCAAGTATTGAGCAGCCACGAATCTTAGATAAAAAAAATGATGCCATTATGATTATAAATAGACTGGTCCACTGACGTGTAAATATATTAATTTTATTTGACATTTGACATTTAAAGTTGGCACATATGATTTGTTTTAGCATATAAAAATTTTAGGACAACGTTGATATTATGTATTTGCCAAAAATTTTAATAAATTCTCTAAGCGATTTTCATATTGGACTGACGATGGCAAATCATTTCAGAAACAATGAAAAATATATAAATTCCATCTCATTATACCGAATGTATGTCAGTCAATTAATGATTTAATGAATCTCCAAATTCACCCAAATTCATAAGTCAATTATTTACGAAAATTTTTTATCCACATTTCTTCGGTTATTATTAAATATACATTGGAATATCGCACGGCCTTGGTATAAAAAGTTTCTCATAGCTTAAGCAAATGCAGTTGTAAAATAACTTATTTTCTATTTCATCTTGCGCAACGAACGAATTAAATGTGAAATGAAAATATCCTGATAATCGTATCATATTTTAGATAAATTCAATATTTAGACTTTGCACAAGTCTTGTCATTTATTCACGGACAAGTATAGGAAATTTAATAATTTTAATAAAAAAAAAAAAAAAAAAAAAAACGCCCAACTACAGCTGTCAATCATTAAATAAAACTACTTTTATCGAAATTTTTAACATAAAATTGTTCCATTATAAAGTAGAAATAATAAAATCCCATTAATAATTTATTCATTTATAATATTGTCAGCAAATGAATATTGATTAAAAGTCTTGAACGCACGATGTAATTACTTTATTTAATCAATATGTGCGTTTGAATGGAATATAATTTGGTTATTTAATCATCAACATTATTTCATAAATTATTAAAATGTATTGTCATTATTAATGGAAGAGCGAGTAAAATTTTAGCCCGTTTGATTTCATTTTTATGAACTTTTTCATACGCTATTCGCAATACAACTCTGAATCAATATTTTTAATGAAGGCTTATACGGACATTAAATAAAATTGAATTTATTTTAATTTAATTCGACCACTAATGTAATAAATCTATTTTTAATTTTATTGGCATTGCTGAAAAAGATTTTGCGTAAAGTCTTTTGTAGAAATGCACATACATCAAAGGTAATGATCACCTCATGATCGATATAAATGTCATATATTTATGAATAATTCTCTGATTTCTATTTATATTATGCTTATTAACAAGACTTTGAATTTTTCTTTTGTTTATTCATTTATTTTTTATTCTTCATCTTCTTCTTTTTTTTTTTTTTTTTTTTTTTTTTTTACATTATTTAATAATACGTTTAAATAAATGCACAGATCATTTTAAAATGTAAAAATACAATAGAACTATTATATGTTTTTATTGCTTGACTCATTACGTATAATGAATTTATTTTGCTAATAATATTTATTAAGTAGAAATGAGTTGTTAAAATGACAATTAAATTAATTAATTTATATTGGATATTTCTTTTGATAACTCTCGTGTATCGTATTACCAAATCCAAATTAAATCCAATGCGAAAACAAAAAAATACACTATTCTACTTACTTTAAGATGTCACTAAGTTCTTAAATTATCATCAAAGTCCATGATTTCAAATGATAGAAGAGAAAAAATTTTAGAGGATAATTTAATTATCGCAACAAATGTAGACGAAATATTTCAAGACAAACATTTTCATTTCCAACTCTTTCAACATGACATTGCAATGTATAGGTTTTTTTTTTTTTTCCAAGCATTAATTAATCCAAGATCAATTCATCAAATTAGTAATTTTCTGCCCATCTATATGCGAATACGACATTCCTCAGCGCGCATAAAGAAACAAAACAATAACAATAAAAAATCCGTTCCTATATATTTATCACAGAATAATGACTTTATTACAATGAATTAATTTAATTGGAAAGATTGAGGCGTGAAATCGTATGACCATCATTCAATTGCAATTTCGCAAGCGTTACCCATTCGTAAGCAGATAATTTAGTGAAGTCATCAAGTCATACGTAAATATCCTACGGAAATATTCAGGAGCGAAAGATCGTCGGGTGCGAGCTGCAGTTGCTTTGGTTTGAAAAAAACTATGAGAGTGGTAACTCGGTAAGGTCGAGAGAGCGAGAAACGACGTCTTGTATCTGGCGAAAGATCGATTAGCGCTGTTAGCGTTCGCTCAAAAGCGGCCACTTTCACCCGTCAAGCCGGACATGCATCGATCGTATCGTCGCGGCGAGGAACACCAAGAGGCAATTACTATCGGTGGAGCCGAGACTCGATCACGTGATTTCCCGCGGGTGCCGTCAGTGGCAAATGAGTCAGCTGCCAGGGTATGGATCCCGACTACCGCGGCTCCTCCACTGTCACCCGATCCACTGCGGATCAGAGCATTGATTGAGAGCACCGAGGGCTGTTTTTGACTCCCTCAACTTACTTCTGCAGTCGTTAATTGTGACTCTGGATGCTACAATTCTCTCTCTCTCTCTCTCTCTCTCTCTCTCTCTCTCTCTCTCTCTCGACTCCTACTTCTCATCATCATCATCCTCCTCCTTTTCCTCCTTCTCCACTCTCTTATGCTGCCAAGTACCTCACCAAAGTCCGTGAAAGAAGGCGGGAAAGAGAATAATGTACATTGTTTGACCTTACGGCCTCTGCGTACGCGTGAACATTCACTGCCGATGTGTGCAAAGTCCGTTATGCGCTGAACCTGCGAATCTCAAACTTTTACGCCACTGCCGGGACCTTGCGGATAATTCCTTTATTTCCGCATAATTGAATAAACGAGCGTGCCCACATCACGTGGATCGTAGTATTTCATATACGAGCTTTGAGTATAACGAGTTAAGC